AGACGTAAAACCAGTCTTCATCTTACGCAGCGCTCGTGTCACTAACCTCATGACTTACGTTTTACAGTTATAACTTAGTTTACAGTCGGTGCAGGCGTTCAGAGTATCCGAACAAATGAACACGGTCTTGTGTATGAGAACAACACGTTTGTCCATTTTCCCAGTCATTATATTAAAATGGTCAGTAGCATCTCACACCTGAGCCAGCTGGGATCCTTGTGTGCACCCCACGCTTTAGAGGCCTTCCTGGCAGCAACACACTCATAAGTGGTAACAGAGAGTGGATGGGGACTCTCGCAAAGTGAACTGGGTTCTGGTGTCCAGAGGCTGTAGACCTGGAAGCCTGAACCTCTGTGTCCGGGGAGGAGAAGAGCACAGCCTGTGCTCTAGGAAACCAGATGAAGAGTTGGGGCCTCACCCCCCAAGTGGATGGTTAGGCAAAAAGTCATCGTTACCCCGACACACTGTCATCAGTCCTCTGCACCTCCTCCTGGCACCTGGACACGCCTGGCCCCCACCCGTGTTCCTTCCCACTACTGCCAGAGCAAGCTTTCTCAAATGCATGTCTGATATCATCACCCATATTGAAAATCCTTTGCCCTCCTCCTGCAGCTGATCTTGAGATAAAGTCCCAATGCCTGCATGGTTTACCGGGCTCCACTTGACCTCCCCTCCTGCCTTCCCGGCTACCTCACTCTTGGACTTCATCTCTCCCCATTCTTGACTCATGAACCCTCGACTCCAGCCATCAAGGCCTGTTTTCATTTCCTCAAAGGGAAGCCTTGCCTTACTCGGACTCGCTTCTGCTTGGAGCACTGGCCCGTCTCCTTGCCATGGGAAGTTTTGCTGACCCCTCCCACCACTTTTTGGGAAACTGTTCTTCCTTCTTCCACTGCCCTCTTACCACAGCGGGTATCAGGTGACCCTTTCTGCCTGCCTGCCTCTTGGCCCCACTAGAACGTAAGCTCCGTGAGGTCAGGGACCATATGCAGGTTGTTCCTCGTTAGATCTTCAGCACTCTCTGAGCAAATACCACCCTGAGAAAATAGTAAGCTGCATTTGCCTCTGCATTTTAAAGGTATTTGGGAAAGTGGGTTGAAAGGGGAAGTTAGCAGCAAAGTGAAACCATTATGGTTGGGCCCAAGAAGCCCAGGCTGGACTACCTGGGACTCCTGTTTTTCCTGTGGCCTCTTGGAAGCCTGAGGGACCATCTGTGCTCTGATAGACCAAGCCCCCAGGCCTCTGTATGTCCACAAGGGACTAATTATACTTGACCTCGGCAGTGGTTTGACCATGGAACACCTTGTACTGTCAACAAACGCAGATGACCAGCATGTTCACGGTCTTTTTGAGATGGATTTGCACAAGGTTGAAATGCCTTCCGATACTCACACTGCTTACACATTGTGACTTTTGAACAATGGAGAGATGATATTTCTGCATTAAGTCATGGAAAAAGGTATTCACGCAGTTTGTTTAAGTATTGCACATCCTGCCAAAAATAAATATTAATCAACCGCAGCGCTTTCAGTGTGTTCATCAATTTTGGCATTTGTCCACATGTGGAGAAAAATTAAGCTGGGGTTGAATTGAATCTTTGTCTTTTAGAAGTGGCTATTTGTGACCAGCTCTATTAGAATTGTGTTTATTTTGAAGGTTTTAGGTGATTAAAAGGATTTTTCAATCTAGTTTTTAGTGGAGTTGTCTCCTGTTTTTAAAAACTCTTGCCTGATATAAAGCAAGTTTGTTTTGTTCAATCCGGTACATATCAGGTGGTTATTTGTCAGTTAGTCTGAGCGCTCATATGAAACTGGTATTTGGATTTAATTCAGTTCCATTAGAACAGAGTTAAAATTCTGTGATACAGGGCCTATTATCCTGGCAGTTGTAAGGGATTTTTGTGCAAGGAAGCAGGGCTGACAAAGAGGGCACTGTACATGCTCCGTCTGTAACTGAGCACTTTCACACTGCAATTTAGGAAGTGTGCAGTTCAGGAAATTGCTGGCTTTGGCTGGAGCATACTTTAACTGCAAGGAAAATTTTATTCGTCACTCAAGTAATTGGCAGTTTTAATACCTTGTTCATAATTACTTAATAAACAAACGAACGTATAAACCAAAGATTGTATGGCTTGTTATCTAAACCCGTAGCCTTATTTGACCAATGTGATAGACACCTGTGGGTCTCCTTCTCCTTCCCACAAAAAACCAGTTTGTTCCATTTATTGAAAAAATCTATAGCCGAGCATTTTCTTTGTGTTGTTAAATGTTACGTGTGGCTATACTAGCCTCAGACAGCCTGGGGGCCAAAGCCAGATGCAGAGTTCGGTGGGAGGTAGTGACTGGGGACCGGGGAGGGCGATGGAGGGGGAGCACATTTCAGGGTTCCTCTGCTGTTTGTGGGAGGACATCCTGGTAATGCAAACATTTGGGTTATGTGTTTAAGAGCGCATTGCTGTCCCCTAAAGTGTGGTTTTGTTTAACCCACACACCCTGACCCTAAGGCCCTGTGGCTTGTCTCTTGGACTAACTCCATCTCCGGGATCTAGAGATTGACTAATTGTCTCGCTTGCATTACCCTGTACCTCACAGCTAGATCAAGGAGTTTATACACTGGCAAATCCAGATGTGGGAAATGGTCAAAATCAGAGGTCATGGCTGACTTGACTCTAAACAAAGTCTGTAAGACTTTATGGGAGACTGAGGGCCTTGATATTTGTTACTTGTACATAGGAGTGTAAAACCTTTTAAAAAAAAAAAAAAAACCTTACTATTATCACAGATAAGTTCAGCTCCTAAGATAGACATCACCTATGCCCGTTACCTTGTATAGGATTGCTTCAGAATGTAGAGGTTCCCTACAGTCCTTAAAAGTAAGATATGGAGAATTCTAACAATATTTTGAGAAGTTTTGTTTGTTGTTGTTTAAATAGAAAAGGTCCAACCTGTTTTCTGCCCTTATTATTCTTGCTGGTGAATCAGCACCTGACCTTGGCACATATTCAGGAAGTTGTTCTTCTGCTGTGGTGCTCTGGTGGATGGCAAACACGTACAGACCCCTGCGTTGTCTTCCTGGGGTGCAAGCAAGACTGGGGAGACCCTGTTTCCAAGGCATCCTTAGTGTTGGCATAGGGATGGCTCCAAGAGCCAGTGTTGATCCCACATTCGTATGAAACCAGAGGTTCAGCATTTTTGAAAGGGTGGGAAGTAGTGGCCACTTCTTCCACTAGATGTGGGGGCGCATCTCCACATAAGAACTTAAGTGACAAAATATATTTGACGCTGTATTCTGTGAAACAAGCCTTCGGCGACTGCTCTGGGACCCGTGTGGCCTCATTAGGTTAAAAGCTCTAGTTATCCTAATTTTACAATTATCTATAATACATATACTAGAGAAACGTTATTCTGATTAAGTGGTGTAATCTATGAACAATGCTTAGCCTCGGCTTGACGTTTGAGGTGTTCTCAGCATCATTGGGCTTCGTATACAGTCCAAGACAGAGGGGTAAAGACCTATCCCCCTACATAGAGGAGCTCCTAGTATGGCAGAGAAGACCAGCAGGGTGAGAGTGCCATGTAGGAACTCAGCATAGGATTTTGTGAAAATATGGATGAAGTGCTCTTACGTAACTCAGGGACCTTCTGAGACGGTGAGAGGCAAGGCCTGTGTGTTATGATAATGCAGAAGAGCTTAATAACCTCAAAGCGCTATAGAAATAAGTCATTGGTAGGAAGATACACATATGAGATCTATTTCCCAAGTTTTCTCATTAAATGTGGCTTAACTGTAGACTATGTAGAGAAACAGCAGCATGTGACGTATCACGTATAGAGGTCGCCCTAGAGCCTTCGGATTGTGTCATTGTTCCGTCGGTTATAAGGAGACCTTCTTCGTAAGAGGACTCTGTTTCCGTCCTGGCCTTCCTACCTGGACGTGTTGTTTTCCCCTGCCAAATGATGGTTTAAGAAGTCCAAGCTACTTGATCTAATATGACAAATAAGATGACTTGTACATCAACTTGATTCCTGTTTTCTGGCAAGATTGTCATTTAATGCTGAATTTCCCCCCTTGAAAGCTGTTTTATTGATGACCTTTTAAGAGATGTGACTTGGCCTCTTTTTTTGTTTCTCATTTGTGGTCTAGTATAGGGCTCACCAGTGGAACTTTCAGTGATGAAATGTTCTGTATGTGCACTGACCCATAGGACAACCACCAAGCACATGTGGGTATTGAGGACCTGAAATGTGGCCACTGTGATTAAGGAACTGAAATTTGAACATTTAATTTTAATTTAAAATGCTACGTGTGGCTACCATATTGGTCATCACAGTCTGGTGTTTAAGACTGTTAATGTTCAACTTTATTAATGTAATTAACTAGAGATTATTTAGACTGGTGTGATTTTATGTGATATTTTTATAATACTCAAAGCCCTGGAGCGTATCTACTGGTTTAGAAGACTTTGGCAATACATTGAAACTTGCTCTTTCTTAAAGAAAAAGAGAGATCTCTAGCATGGCTTTTAAAAAAAAAATCTGCTAAGTATTTTAAGTTCATTGTAGTATGGGTAGTCTCTCCAGGAGAAGAATTAGAAATAGATTAGGAATCAGGAAAAAGAATAAGGCACTCACACACCGGTGCCTGGAATGCCAACTCAGTGCTAGTCATTTTACATACCATTTAGTAAAAATGATAAGGAAGGACTGGTAACAAAATAACATAAAGAAAAATCAGACGGTTTAAGCGCATAGCACTTGGATAATCACAGCTATTAAACGCACCCGGAGTTATACAGGAATGTTTTTCATGCGTTCTAATATCATAATTTACTGCTTAAGATGAAACTAAAGTGACATAAGAATTGCTGTTTAACTTTTAAAAGTAGAATTCAGAGCAAACAGTTTTCCATATTTCTGAAGAACAAATTAGGAGTGGAAAATATTTATCTTTCAGATTGTTGTACTATTAACCCTGTCATCTGTGCTATCTTTAAATTCCAGAGCTGGAAACAGGATTGTTGAGATATTACCTGAGCATCTGAAACAATTTCAGTCCCTTGAAACTTTGGACCTGAGCAGCAATAATATTTCAGAGCTTAAAACTCCCCTTCCACCCCTACAACTCAAATATCTGTAAGTCAAGTCTTTTTAACAGAAATATTCACCTATAATGAAAATAGCAAGTCATAATAAAAAATCAACTTTAAGATATAACAAACTCTGCTTTTTTTTTTTCTTTTAACCTGTTGGTGGTGAATCAGCAGTGTAACTTTCTTATTGGCGTGTAATTTACTGTAAACCCAAATAATCAGTCCTTATTGTTGCACTTTGGCTTACAAAAAATTAGATATCCTTTGTTAGAAAAAGTATATGGAGTGAAAAATGCTTCTTTAAAAAATTAAATCATTTTTTCTCATTCCATTAATAAATGAGTTTTTTCAAAGTTGGATAAGCATCTCTACCAAGTTTTTATACCCTTCAAATATTCCAGTCCCTCTTAGCAGTATGTGTGGATCATAGTCAGCCTTGACCTGCAGGGACCTAAAGATTCCATTTTTAAGTGTCCACTGATACAAACGATGCTTAGGTTCTCTGGAGATGATAGTGGAGACAATGTATGTGCCTTAACTTTCCAACAAGCCAGAAAGAGAAGCTCATCTTCAAACTTTTAACAGGTATATCAACAGCAACCGAGTCACTTCAATGGAACCCGGGTATTTTGACAATCTGGCCAACACACTCCTGGTGTTGAAGCTGAACCGGAACCGGATCTCCGCTATCCCACCCAAGATGTTTAAACTGCCCCAGCTGCAACACCTGTAAGTAAAATGTTCTCTTAGGTGGTGTTTCCTCAACTCCTCTAAACCCATGGTGTCTGTTGCCTAAAACCCACAGTGTGACCAGAGGAGTTTAGAGGCAAGGAGGTGGCTGTCATCCCGCTGGGAACTGGAATGGTTAGAGTTTCTGAATTGGACGGAGCCTTCACAGTCACCTAGCGCAAACTCCTGCCTGACGGGGCAGGTTCAGGTCTTACCGAAGGAATGAACAGTGTCATCATCGAACAACCTCCATACAAAGGCATCATTGTGGCACTGGCCAAATATGGGGACTCCAACAGCTGTGGTTTGTGAAAATAATACCAACAACTCCAGGAGGCTCTGATAGCTTAAGTGGCTGCAGAGAGCTGTCTCGTTAACCGTGGTGGAATGATCTGTGAACAGGCTCCTACAATTTGGTGGTTTTCAACCTCGGCTGCACATTATAGACACTGGGGAGCTTTTAAAAATCCCAATGTCCAGGCCACACCTCCGACCAATTATATTAGAACCTCTGGGGGTAAGATCCAGGCTATGGTAATTTTTAACCCCCCCCCCCCCAGGTGACTCCAGTGTGCAACCAAGGTTGAAAATGACTGCCTTAAAGAGAAAGCATTAAACGTAAAAAAGAATCGTCAAAGAGAGGGTAACCAACTTTTGTAAGCAGGGTAAGCTTGACGGCCCTGCCCCTGAACAGACCTCATGTTTTAACATAATATTTAATATTCTCACTCTGGACAATTTAAAAACAAATATACTGAGTAGATAAGTATTTTAGACATTAAAGTGTAGTCTGATTTCAATATTTCATTATTCTGAAAACACGTCACACGTCTCAGAAGGAAATTCACTCCCTGCTAATAAATCAAAATTCTCCTCAACAAAAATGTTTAGAAACTGAAAACATTCTGTGTAATTTAACACCGGCTGGTTTCACTATATTGTAGTAATGTCACATTTTATTACTACCTCCAGAATTTGTCATTTAAGCTGGTTTAACTGTTCTGTCCAATGCAGTGAACTGAACCGAAACAAGATTAAAAACGTAGATGGACTCACATTCCAAGGGCTTGGTGCTCTGAAGTCTCTGAAAATGCAAAGAAATGGAGTAACAAAACTTATGGATGGCGCTTTTTGGGGGCTGAGCAACATGGAAGTCTTGTAAGTGTAGCTTACCACAACTCCTGCTTCGGTGATGCGATCATGGCGTGCTCGGTGAGCATGCAGCAGCTTTATTTGAAATCCTATGTGAAAATGTCATAATTTACAATCTTAGAATGTAATACTCAGTTTTGTCTCCAGTAACATGCCTGAGACCCTACAGCCACATGGTAATTTTGCTGATGTCTTTATATAACAAAAGCCAAACATCTTGTAACAATAGGAGTATGTACTAGCTTGTAATCATACGTCTCCTTTGAAGAGACTAGATAATGAACTTTCGATCCTGCTTTTGAATCTTATTGTGAATGTAGGCAGCTGGACCATAACAACCTAACAGAGATCACCAAAGGCTGGCTTTACGGCTTGCTGATGCTGCAGGAGCTTCATCTCAGCCAAAACGCCATCAACAGGATCAGCCCTGATGCCTGGGAGTTTTGCCAGAAACTCAGCGAGCTGTGAGTTGCCTTTCATTCTCCTCAGGTTCGAGAGCAGGGATCATGCCAGCGCATGAGCTGCTTACCACTGATCTGTGAAATGCTCATAACAAAGTTTCCAAGGTGACAGCTTTTTTCACATGCAACCCGGTCCTATTTTTGTTGGGATAAGTTGAAGCCGGCTCTGCTGTCTGAGTTCTAGGGCACATGGGCTAGATCTGTGGTGGTTATTTTCAAATAAAGAGAATTTTTTTTAATTGCCAGGATTAGCAATAATGTTTACCCGAGCATTATTAAGAAGGCAGAGTGTTAAAGTAAGGATTATCGTGGTTACGTATGTTACCCTTTGTTTGGAAACACATCATTGTGTTGAATTGGAAAATAAAAGCTGTTATTTGGTTTTTGTTCTTTTTGTTGTTTTTTTTTTTTTTTTTTTTTTTTGTCTTTGTTTTGTTTTTGTTTTTGTTTTAAACAGGGACCTAACTTTCAATCACTTATCGAGGCTGGATGATTCAAGCTTCCTGGGCCTAAGCTTACTAAATACCCTGCACATTGGGAATAACAAAGTTAGCTACATTGCTGATTGTGCCTTCCGGGGGCTTTCCAGTTTAAAGACTCTGTAAGTTACACATTTTGCTCTCTGTACACGAACCTAATTGGTTCCTAAATGTGCCCACTTTTCTCCAAGCAGATTTCCTTTGTTGTGAAGGAAATGTGTACAGCCTCAGAAGTAGTGTCTTAATCTTTCCCAGATCAGTTTGATTAAAATCAGTCCATTTTATCCATATGTGTTTCTTAGGGGGATTAAAAAGGACAATGATCAGATTGGTTTGGTGATTACACTTAGCCTTCTCGGGATCTCCAGGAAGTTGGCAACTGCTCGAAAGGGAAGCGATTTTAAATCCACTGATTTTTTCCTTTATAAAAATGCAGATTAGAAATTACCCGGAGCAAAAAGATAGATACCAAGGGCAGGGAAGGAAGATGCCTGTTAGTCAGACCAGGTGTATCCAGACCTGATCTGTGTCCCAAGAGAAAGAAGAGAGAGTTGGATGAATTGACCCTTGAAAAATCTCTGAAATGTTTAACATTGTGCAATGGGCTTTTGGTTTTTGCCTGTCAGAAACTTTTGCTCTGTTCACTATTTGAAGCATTACATAATTGAAAGACATGTTGTGTGCTTCGGCCAACTCCGACTGGTGTGGTTGGAGCAGGCATGTTAGAGTTTTGTTTTTTTCCTAAGATTTGACTTATTTATTCACGAGAGACACAGAGAGAGAGAGAGGCAGAGACACAGGCAGAGGGAGAAGCAGGCTCCCTGCAGGGAGCCCAGCATGGGACTCGATCCCGGGACCCCAGGATCACGCCCTGGGCCAAAGGCAGGCAACAAACCACTGAGCCACCCAGGCGTCCCGGGGTGTTAGAGTTTAGTGTATGTTTCAGACTGTTCATGCCTTTCAGAATTTAGTCCTGTTGATAGAGGAATTAATAGAACACAATCAACTGTCCTGATTTTGGGCAAAAACTTAAAGTGTTGTTGAGGGAGGAGGCCAGGCTGTAAGGGATGCATGGGGGAGGGAAAGAATTTTCTATTGTTTTGAAAGGGGTGGAGATGATGTGGGGGATTATGAGGAATTTATTACGAATTACATGCCACCTGGGTGGTGATCTTATTAGCTTTCTGAGCATATCTCTAAAGAGAACGCTTCTGTCTTTTGTTAAGTACCTGGTACCAGTTTCGGTAACATTTCTTTTTTTTTTTATAATCAGGGATCTGAAGAACAATGAAATTTCCTGGACTATTGAAGACATGAACGGTGCTTTCTCTGGGCTGGACAAACTGAGACGGCTGTGAGTAGGACCTGCTCCATGGTTGCCTCACTCTCTGACCTCTACTCCGTGAAGTCCACTCTGAGATTTGAGAGAATTTAGGACTAGAGGCTCAATCTGGTTGCTTCCCTTGGTCATTTCCCCAAATGAATGTTGTTCTACAAGATGGGTATTAATTAGCTTTTCTTCCTTGGTATGGTGGTTTTATTCAACACTTTGGTGAGTGTTTTATTCAACACTTTGGTGAGTCGTATGTCCTTATGTTAATATCTAGACAAAAATTTTTAAATTGTTCTGAGTGCTTAGAATCTTGGGATTACCATTGTAAAAGTACATTTCCTAATTTCACCATTTTGAAACTTTCAGTGTTGCATCCTGCTCACAGGGATTTTTAAGTGACATGATCCAGAGTCCGCTGGTGACACTGCAGTAGGTTCCAAGCAGTACAGGAGAAAAAAAAACTTGCTTCTGTTCAGCCTTAAAGTGGCCTTGTAGATGCCCAAAGTCTGTGTTTTAAATTTTCAAGCTGAGTTCCATATAACCCTAAACTTTCAAGGATGATGAAAGTGTCCATGGGGAGGAAGGGAAAGGAGAAGATCTGAACTATTATTGTTGCACTAATTACAGTTCTAAGACCATTTACTTGGAAGTTTCTACCTCTTCCTAAGAGGACTTTGAAAATCACAGCTTCCATAACCACCAGAGTAGCTTATTGATTACCTGTATTGGCTGGGTTTCTGTTGAATGCTTTGAGACCATGCTGACCTGTATCACTGAACGAGATGGCATGAATACATTTTTACAGGATATATTGTTTAATTGAAGAAAATAGAATCATCCACAGTGACTTTAAAAGCAATTCTTTTCATGAGAATTCCACCCCCAAATGACTTTAACTGTTCCAATGTAACTTTTTTTTTCTCCCCCCCCCCCCCCCCCAGAATACTCCAGGGAAACCGGATCCGATCCATTACCAAAAAGGCCTTTACTGGTTTGGACGCATTAGAACATCTGTGAGTGACTGGAATTTAATTACCCTAAAAGAGTCTGGGATGGTTATCTACTTATGTGCCATGAGATAAACTACAATGTAGATTTGTTGGCATCCTCTCCATACCATAAAGTATATTTTCATACCCGCTTATCCTCTACCTACCTGTTTATCTACCTGCCTGTATCTGTATGGAAGTAAATAGGTAAACATTTTCCTTTGCATTTGAGGACATCACTACACATTATTGGGTTTTCTTTGCGTTATTTTTCTCAAGTAGTGACACATTTAATTTTTTAAAAAACCCACCATTTACTGTGCACGTATTATACATCAGGAATTATGGCAGGTATTTATGTATAGCCTCATTTAATCCTTGTAAGAAAACTAGTCAATAGCTTCTGTTACCTTTATTTTTAAGTAAAGAAGTGAAGGTGCTGGGTGTCCATTGATTCCATTGACTTGCATTTTATTTTTTAATTTTATTTATTTTTAAAATATTTATTTATTAATGAGAGACACACAGAGAGAGAGGCAGAGACACAGGCAGAGGGAGAAGCAGGCTCCATGCAGGGAGCCCGATGCGGGACTCGATCCCAAGATCCCGGGATCACACCCCTGGGCCGAAGGCAGATGCTCAACCACTGAGCCACCCATGCGCCCCTGACTTGAATTTTAAAGATTAAAAAAGACAATTCCCCGTGGTCCTCAGGAGTGACATTAGGAGAGTAGTAGCACTGCTTTGAGACTGATTAGTTTGTCATTGCTGCCATTGCGTTATAAATCACACACCTGTTTTTCCATCTTTGTTCTTTCTCTTATTCAGTTTTGCTACCAACCCATCGGGTTGCAATTGACAGAGGCAGGACTCAAGCCAGGGCTGCCTCTGCCACAAGTATCCTTGTGCCACACTAGCTCCGGTCCCCACAGTCTCTGTGCCATCCCCTCTTAGTAACTCCTGGCACATATTTTTCAAATGACATTTAGGGATGCCGATCTTTCCAGCCACTAGAAGGGCAAGCTAGACAGTCCTGATAGGAGGCAAAACCTGCAAAACCTGCACTGAGGCAACCAGCTTCTTAGAATCACACGTACATGTCTTATACATGTGTGTGGCAAGAGTACAAAGTCAGAGAAAATATCTCCACCCTGACTATTAGCAAATGTTTATAGCCAAAAGCTTTAATATCCATTAACTTGGACAAAAGAAGTTCAAGGCACGTGGGCTTGAACGCGCATTGAGTACCAGGAGAGAAGATTTCGCCGTTGTGTGCGACCACCTTGCTGTCTTCTGACTCACTTATTAGTTTGAGGGAGGCCTGGATTGCCAGCCACGCTGACAGAGCAGTTCAGGCCGGAGTCGGATGATTCTGCAAAGCAGAATTTGGAAGGGCGGACCAGTGTTGCTGGACTTATTGAAACAAATTATTTTCAGAGGGAAACTAGCCAAAGGGTTTGTCATCTGACCCATTCCATTTCTGGGAAAGTGGAATTAGTGGATCAGTGGAGTATTAACCTCTGCTTAGTTTTCTAAGCCTTCTTGACTCTCCCAGCCTCTTTCTCTGCCCACATTCGGTACCTTCACTCTGTCCTCTGTTGCCCCCATCTCATTCAGAATCCTTTTTTGTATACCCTGACCCTGGAAAGGAAAACACAGTAGTAATCATTGTGGAGAGTGCTTTAACTCAAACCGCTCACAAGTACTAATTAAAAATAAAGTCAGCCTAGAATATTCTCCGGTTTTTTAAATGCCCTGCCCGAAGAGTGTTTTAGCAAGTACATCTTGTCTGAACATCTTATTGTCTCCACTGGTGAGTTGTGTGGAGCAGAATGAGTTACTGACCAAGAGCATAGGTTTTGAAACTGAAAATAATCGAGTCCACCTCTTATCTGCCCCTTTCCTGGTAAACAAGAGAGTAAAACCATCTTCTTTTGGGTTGCTGTGAGGAATAAATGTAATACTATGTCAGTGTAAATCCTTTAACCCAGTGCATGTCCTAGAAGGTATTTTATACACGAGGGTTTTTTTTAAAAACATAACTATGAGAAATTTTACTTGTGTATTTAAAAGTTACTATTGCAAATTGAACACCAATAAAAAATAAATTTATAAAAAAAATTTAAAAAAATAAAAGTTACTATTGGTTACTAATTTGAATATTGAAAACACAGTAAAACAGTACAGCAGAACAAACCATAAAACTACAAAAAAAAAAAGAAAAGAATACAGCAAAACAGCTTAAATCCTCATGAGTCAAATAATCTGTACGTGATGATATAAAACAGGTCATTTTTTTACTATGACAGAACCGGCCTCTGATACAAATACTGTTGTTCTTTGGTCCAGACTTCCCTAATGGGTTCTTTTTGGAGTTGCCAGGTCGGTGCATTTCAGCACATGGAGTAGTTTGGTGAATGGGGGGTTGGGGGGACGCATACGGGTTCAGCTTCTGCAGGAGGCCTACGGTGACCATGATTCGCTCTAATGTGTTCAATTTGGTTGTTTTCAGAGATCTGAGTGACAACGCAATCATGTCATTACAAGGCAATGCATTTTCACAAATGAAGAAGCTTCAGCAACTGTAAGCTTTCCTTTCCTTTCCAAGAGTTTCAAATAAAACACGGTGTCAGAGGAGCTGTCCTGGGGCATGTCCCACGTAGATCACGTGTCTATAAAAAGCATCTAGCATGTTCTCAGCATACTTACTTTTTATACTAGGAAGCAAAGGGACTTGGTGATTTGTTCCCTTTGTTGAGAAGAGGAGTATCTTTTGGTTTCTGTTACGAATTTGCAGTTTAAATCTGTGGGACCTAATGCAGTGCAAGGCCCAGCATAGTAGCGGGTCTTGAGGAGTGAGGTGTTTTCAGGACATCAGCGGCTCTCCCTCGAGAGATCAGCAGGAACAACACCACGGTGCTAGCACATCTCTTACATTTTAAGATGAACTAGAGAATACTTATTGCATGGGGTGTGTATATTTTGTTTCTGCATTCATTGCTTTGTTAATATTTACTTGAGTTAGTTTACTCGTAGAATCTGCATTTCATATAAAACAAATTGAACATAATTACTCTCCTCAGGCATTTAAATACATCAAGCCTTTTGTGCGATTGCCAACTAAAATGGCTCCCACAGTGGGTGGCGGAAAACAACTTTCAGAGCTTTGTAAATGCCAGTTGCGCCCATCCTCAGCTGCTAAAAGGAAGAAGTATTTTTGCTGTTAGCCCAGATGGCTTTGTGTGTGGTGAGTGTAACTGTTGCCTCTGCCTTCATTCTTCTTTTTTCCCCTCCAATGAATGGTCTTGCATAAGCTTCTGTTCTCTTAATGAAGCTTTTATTTCTGCTGAGGTAGATGAAAATGGATCTCTAGCATGCTGATGATTTTAATGTCACAGAGGAGAAGGAGTTTCCTAAAATGTCTGTGTTTTGACACCAGGGTGGTTTGGTGGAACAAGAAGGACGTTGGATCTTGGGAGAACTGATGGGCCTTCGCGGCCCTCCCAACTTCCCTAAATCTCAGTGTCTGCATCTATGGGAAGGGAAGTCTACAGACCACCCTCCCCAATTTCAGGCTTGTTGAGAGGCTGAACTAACCCCTGTGTAAATGCTGTGTGTTGGGGTAGAAAGAGAAAAGTATGAGCTAAAAATTGTGCTCCTGCTGGGTAAAGCATTACAAGTACTGGAAAGTTTGAATTGATTGCAAATCAACGTAAGGTCCATTGTTTTAGCGTCTAAGAATCTCAGCGCTAGAAATCCCAAACCTCAAATACCGAGTCAGCAGATCCAGGTCAAAACCCCAGGTTTTCTTCTCCCTGGTGCAGGCTACTGTCTGCTGCACTACCCTGCTGTTTACTACGCACTGCCATGGAGACCTGGGTAAAGATAAATGCGCAGATAGAACACGAAATCAAAGTTTGCTTAAACTTCAGCATATGTTTTAAGATATTACAGAACCTGATTTTACACTGGCCTTTAAAAATTTATTTGAAACTGCTTTGCCTGTGATTGTTTAGTCAAGTACAAGAAAAATATATTTTTTTTAGGTTGCAGCATTTAACGGTGCCAACGGTTTCTGGAAATAAAACGTCTGATGTAGCTTTTGGATCTAAATAAGCTTTTGGCATTCATTTAGAAGGGCCCGAGCCATGCCTTTCCCATGGTGCTTATTTCGCAGTTCTCTAGTCCCAAGATAAGAACTCCGTTATTTTGAGACGTGTGTATGGTATCCGTAGATTTTTCTTTCAGTCCCTCCGTTGTGAATCTTAAACATTGATTTACCAGATGAGAACTTTAGAACAATCGTAGAGAAGAAACCGTCTTGATGACAACGTGATATTGGAAGTGAGCAGCGTCGGGGTCACCAGAGCATTCCCAAGCCCCATTCACCCACACACGTGCATGCTCACACCAAACACACGCATGTATGCACTCGGGCGATTTTTTTCCAGAGCACCCAGAAACTATCTTTTGGTAGATCTGAGCTGTTTCCTTTCTGGGTTTAGAGCATCTCCAAGAAACTGCAGTTCAAAAAAGGTGACTTTTCCAAAAAGTAACAGAGAACTAAAAATAACCATTTGGAATGAAAGAGTTGCCCAGCTCTAATTACCATGTAGCGCTGACAGTGTAGCATAGCGGCCTGATTGATTGTCTACCCTCAACCCCAGGCGGAAGCCAGGGTCTCACAGGGACTTTGAGAGATGGTTTTTCTTTTGCTACAGGACTATTTGTTTCAACTCTATCTAAAAATTACTGCTCTTTAATACGAGTTCTGTTTTTGGTAAATGAAGTGTTAATTGCTGTCTTTAGTGATATTGATTTCTTAATTTTGCTGCTGCTTATTCGTGGATAACGTGGGAAAAATTGCAGTTCCTACTAGTAGCTTTTAACGATGATCCATGAGCCTAGAAACTTCTTAACTGATTTCTTCTTGTGTATGTGTATATATGTGTGTGTGTGTGTGTGTGTGTATATATATATATATACACACACACACACATATTTTTTTTTAAAGCCTAAGGAGCCTAGGATAAACTAGATTCCAAAGAAAGAGTCTCCTCTCAGTTAATGACCGATAAATAGGTCTTGGTCTCTATTTGAAGTGAACAAATTCGTGTATAAACGCTCTCCTGGGCTGTCCTTTCCACATGAGGACCGTTGGTCCCATCTGGGAAGCCTACACAAAGGGTCACATGCAAGCCGTCGTCTGTTTGGAGTTTCTTGGTATGAAAACCTGAGTGGCGTTTGGACTCTCAAGCCTTAAAATGGTTTTGTTTCCTCCTCTCCTTCTTAAACAGATGATTTTCCTAAACCCCAGATCACCGTTCAGCCAGAAACACAGTCGGCAATAAAAGGTTCCAATTTGAGTTTTATCTGCTCAGCCGCCAGCAGCAGTGACTCCCCAATGACTTTTGCTTGGAAAAAAGACAATGAACTACTGCACGATGCCGAAATGGAAAATTACGCACACCTGCGGGCGCAGGGTGGCGAGGTGATGGAGTACACCACCATTCTCCGGCTCCGCAACGTGGAATTTGCCAGCGAAGGGAAATATCAGTGTGTCATCTCCAATCACTTCGGTTCATCCTACTCTGTCAAAGCCAAGCTTACAGTAAATAGTATGTGACCTGACTTTTCCATTTGCGTGTACAGACGCCTTTTAGATTTGGTTTTCTCTCTTTCTCTTCCTTCCACCGCTGTCTCCTGCTCATGGTTCCCCACCTAACCCTGCCTCTCTCTACTTCTCAGTCCACAACATTAAGATCCTTGGTACCTACGTGAGCACTTCCCGTGTGCAGGACCCCGTCTTGGTGGGTAGCACGGAGAGGAACCACACGTCATTTGTGTGGTCCACTCTTTGGGAGTTTGCAACGTGTTAGTCTGATGTGGGAGGCCATGAAGGGTGGCTTTGCAGCACCCCACCTTTAATTCAGAGATCTGGCTTTGGAGCCTGCCACTCCTGCTTACAGCTGAGTGACTCTTAGCAAGATACTTAACCTCCCCGTGCCTCCATTTCCGCATCTTTCAATTAGGAACAGCAGTACCTACCTCACAGAGGTATGATAGTAAAATAATTGGTGTAAAGGACTTAGTCTGGAATACAGTGAATGCTGACTAAACGCACCAAGTATTAGCTGCCGTTAATAAAAACACGTAATTGTTTGCTTTGTGTGACCCGAATACGTTGTTTTTTTTTTTTTTTTTTTTTTTTTTTAATGACAGGAACCTTACCACTTTATTATTTAATTATTTGTACCTTCCAGGGTAAAAGATTTTGGTGTATGATTCATTAATGCATTCATTCCACAAATGGCTGCGGAGGCCTGATGCATAGAACGATTTTGAGTTTAAAATTGTAGGACACAAAGAAAAAAATAAATAAAAAATAAAATAAAATTGTAGGACACAACACGTATCTGAAGTCACAGAATGTTAGAGCCAGGAGGGACTTAAAAAAAAAAAAAGATGATGATGATGATGAAATGAGTGGACTGGGTACAAAGAGGTGAATTGATCTGCCCAAGATCTCCCAGATAATTACTGAGGAAACTAAAAAGTAAGTGGGAGAAAGTAGAAAGCTGTATAGTCTGTCCATCAGGTGACCCGTGTGTCAGCCTGACCTCATCCTTTCTGTACCTGTGCGTAACCTTGAGGGGATCTCTTTACCTCAACTTTAGATTCTTTGTCTTACAGTCAGAAATAACCTCCGCCTGACCTATGGCAGGGGCATTTGTGAGTATACGTCTAAAAAACAAACAAACAAAAAAACAGAATTAAAATCTTTAAAACTCTGTAGCACTAATACACACTCTTTATCTGATTTCAGTGCTCCCTTCCTTCACCAAGACCCCCATGGACCTCACGATCCGTGCCGGGGCCATGGCGCGCTTGGAGTGCGCTGCCCTGGGACATCCAGCCCCGCAGATAGCCTGGCAGAAGGATGGGGGTACAGACTTCCCAGCCGCGAGGGAGAGACGCATGCATGTTATGCCTGAGGATGATGTGTTCTTTATTGTGGATGTGAAGATAGAGGACATTGGGGTTTACAGCTGCACAGCCCAGAACAGTGCGGGAAGCATTTCTGCTAATGCAACTCTGACTGTCCTGGGTAAGTGGCTATTGTCAGATTCCGTGATAAAAATTAAACACGCTAGCTCGGCCAAAGGCCCCAAGTGTCAGAAGTTGCGAGGGTGAGAGGTAATCCATAGGACACTGCCCTTCCCTGGAAAGAACAGACGGCTTCCCAGGAGCGCCTTACATCTGTGTGTGTGGCCGATGGGACAAGTCTATGCCTCTCTTTCAAGGGGCAGGGAAGAGTAAATGCTGTGTCGCCTCCCCGTTTTTGCAGGAATCACCTTCCTCTCCCCTACTCTCCCCATCACATAGGCTCTACCCGCAGTCTCCACCCTATGAAACACGTATAAGAAGATAAGTCATGTGAGCACTTTGGGAAGGACCTATCCTCTCTTGTCTTGGTCTACTGTACCGTTCTGGAAACCAGAGTATGTCTTTTACCTTTTGCCTAAATAGGAGCTTTTGGAAAAGGTGCACATGTTCATCGTATATGTATCTTTGAGGGAGTTGAGCAAAGTAGCCTATGAACACCAAAGAATAGATGTACCTTCAGACTTTAGCAGATAGGTTTGGACAACCAGCCCCAGAAAGTTCCCCCTTAAAAATTTAAACATTCTGACTTTTTTTTCATTCATCGACCTACCCCCCTGCTTGAAATTATTTTTAGGCATTTTTTCCATTTCTAAGAGATACCTAGAATGTTTTGCATTGCCCCTCTCATTCCATCCCAAGAGTGGGAGAGACTTGGCAGCCCGGGTGGCTCAGCGGTTTAGCACTGCCTTCGGCCCAGGGTGTGATCCTGGGGTCCCGGGATCGAGTCCCACATCAGGCTCCCTGCATGGAGCCTGCTTCTCCCTCTGCCTGTGTCTCTGCCTCTCTCTGTCTCTCATGAATAAATAAAATGAATTAAAAAAAAAAAAAGACTGGGAGAGACTGAGATTGAAAAAAAATAGTAAACATTATCCTTAACAGGTGTTACAAGTGACAGCCAGGTAACAAAATGCAATCCCGATCATGGCGTGCTTGTGTAGGCTCTCAAAGGAGCATACGTGTGAGGCCGTGGAAGGGTACGATGTTAGGTTCCAGTGGTATGCACTCAGGGGGTGGGTCTTCGGACCTACCTGCCAAACCCAATCTCATGGAGGGGCTTAAAAGCACACCCCTTGTTATTTCAGAAACACCATCGTTTTTGCGGCCCCTGCTAGACCGAACCGTGACCAAGGGAGAAACTGCTGTCCTGCAGTGCATCGCTGGAGGCAGCCCCCCTCCCAGGTTGAACTGGACCAAGGACGACAGCCCCTTGGTGGTCACCGAAAGGCACTTCTTTGCAGCAGGCAACCAGCTGCTGATCATCGTGGACTCTGATGTCAGTGACGCTGGGAAATACACGTGTGAAATGTCGAACACCCTGGGCACCGAGAGGGGCAACGTGCGCCTCAGCGTGATCCCCACCCCCACCTGCGACTCCCCTCAGATGACCGCCTCGTCGCTGGACGATGACGGGTGGGCCACCGTGGGCGTCGTGATCATAGCGGTGGTGTGCTGCGTGGTGGGCACATCGCTCGTGTGGGTGGTCATCATATACCACACAAGGCGGAGGAACGAAGATTGCAGCATCACCAACACAGGTGTGTAAACAGAAGCTTGGCCCCGGGGGGCCGTAGTCATGTGTGTCTGTGGTCCTGTGGTCATTTTCTTCCAGAACGTGTGTGTCTCTCACAACCTGAGGCCGTGTCAGAAGGGTGACTCATTTGTTTCAAGCGGCAGGAATATGGTCAGCTAAAAATAACACCCCGGCCCCAAATACTGCTGGTGGTGTTTAAAGATTAATCCTTTTTGTTAAGCCCCCCGCAGAGTGCCCTGCTGGCTGTGCGATCCGGTCCAAACACAGGGTCAAGGAGTCCCACTGCTTCACACGGGGGTGACCTACGAGGCCTCCACCCCTGTGTAGCTCTTGTCTCGTCATGGGTGTGCCCGTGTGCATGTGCAGGCGTGCAGGGGGGATCCCGTTACTGTTGGGAGGGGCCGTGACTTGAGGAACATGTGTGAACTCCACACCCATGCATCCTGAGTCTGAAACACGGCAGAAATCAAGCTTAATTGGGGAGCTTAGCTACTACCCCACCGAGACTCCCAGGCCTTTATGTTTTGGAACATCACTTTCGGAAATTCGGGAGGGGCATCCAGATGAAAGTAGAAAATTGGCCTGTGCTGCCCCAGCAGCAGAGCCCAATCTTCCTTACCTGAGGACTGGACAACCGAGATGGGTTTTTAGGAGTAGACTTCTTTGGTCTGGACACAAACGGAGACCGTGTATGTACTGTCCATCGGGGAAGGTTGTAGGGCCGTGTCCAGTCTTTCCTGGTTAACACTGCTGTCCTCGGGTTACAGATGAGACCAACTTGCCGGCAGATATCCCGAGTTACTTGTCATCTCAGGGAACCTTAGCCGACAGGCAGGATGGCTACATCTCCTCAGAAAGCGGAAGCCACCACCAGTTCGTCACTTCTTCAGGAGGTGGATTTTTCTTACCGCAACATGACAGCAATGGTAAGTGTTTAAAATGAACCCTGGACCCCATGGTTGTCTTGAAACAATCTGATGGAAAGGCTCAGATACAGTATTAATTTTCACCAGAAATAGATACACTCCTAGATCTAGGGACTGACCCAAGATCACTGGCAAAGCTGAAATTAAATGCGGTTATGCCTTTCTCTTAAATACTAGAAAAATCTTTGTTTCTGATAATAAGAGAAGACAAGTGGGAAAATTAAAGCTTAATTTCTCAAAAAAAAAAAAAAAAAAAAAAGCCTAATTTCTCCATGCCGCATGATACTTTCTTTACGCTCGAAGTGTTCCTTGGCCCTAAAAGTCCTCCTTTCTTAAATGGCATTAACTGGTTTCACATATGGTCGTAAAACGTCAAAATGATTTAAGATTTTATTAGAGAAATCAGATTTTTGACTCTTGCTTTAAGAACTGCACAGTTTTAAGAATGCTCGTGGAGGAGCCGTAATGCAGGCACACGGGCTTGGTCCAAGACCCCCTTCCGACACTTGCTCCCTGTGCATCCTGGGCAGTCATACACTACTTCCTTATTAGGTGGTTATGAAATTCAGTCAATTGATATTGGAAACCTGTATGGTGCTTGGCACACACCAAGGGCTCCCAAAGTAGAAACTGTTGACATTCTTTTCAAACATTTTACCGTCTTTTCCCACAAGCACTTATTGACTATCTGCTCTGCGGTGGATCCCAGAGTCAACATGTTTTCGGACTCCTAGTGTAGGCAGTGGTGAGACCAGGAAAAGGCAACAAATGGTCCCAAAGTGTTTGGCAAGGCAAGTGATAGAGGGTATACAGATGGAAGATTTGCACACACACGGGGGTGTTATGGTTGGGCTCATTCAGTTGCAGCCTCCTTCAAATGTAGCAGGGTCTACTGAAGAGACATTTATGAAAACTTAAAGCGACAGACCCGGAACATAATAATGCCGTGTCACTTGGATGCTGGGGCTGGCGATTGATCCTCTGGGAGCAGCTCTAGAGGCCACCAGCCCTGAATGTGAATCATGTCTTGCGCATTCTTTTCTGAGACTGCCCAGTTCCCGCTTCCCAGGCACGTGTTCCAGCAAGGCCTCTCTCACCTGTGCTACATCTCTTGTCCTCGTGGCCACGACTAACCGGCACATCATTTCTGGGTTGTTTGGCTCAGATACTCACAATGGGGGGGGGGGGGAGTTGTTGTTGTTTGGGCTGAGCTCAGCTTTGAGCTGAGCATTCAGAGATCATTTGTTGAATGCCACTTCCTGGTCCTGCTCATCTGTGACTTTTGGGAGGGAGGGGGCAGCGCTGATGGCCTCGTGTGTTTCAGGCCACGGCTGCTTTGGCTGCAGTGTGCACGTGCAGGTCAGTTCCTCTTGGATGCTCCTGGGCGCCAGCACCCAGGTGAACACATGTCGTACAATGGTTAATCGCATCCTCTTCTTGGAAGATGGCACAGATTTAGTCACTAATCTGTAGGCCTCAGTAAATGTTTTAAAACCCTAACATAAATTTCTCTAGTTTTTTTCGTTTGTATGCCATTCTATCCAAAATTTTTATCTATAAATATGGAAAATGCCCAAAGTGGAGAGAATGTTGACAGGTACTTGAATCAAATTCATTCAGTGACTACAATGTCTGTTTTGAAAGGGACCTGCCACATTGACAATAGTAGTGAAGCCGATGTGGAAGTTGCCACGGATCCATTCCTTTGTCCCTTTCTGGGGTCCTCAGGCCCTGTGTATTTGAAGGGGAATGTGTACAGCTCAGATCCATTTGAAGCCTATCATACAGGTATGTGATTCTCTTACCTGAGTTCTCTTCTGTTTCCTGGAGACTTCCAGAAGCACTAACTCTGTCTCTGATACTGTCCTCAATTTTCAAAGGTTGTGGTCCTGACCTGAGACCAGCCTTGATGGACCACTGTGAGCCCAGTTACATAAAGAAAAAGGAGTGCTACCCATGTCCTTATCCTCCAGAGGACTCCTGCGAACAGAGTGTCAGTGATATAGGATGGCCTTCACATGTGAGGAAGTTACTCAACTCTTCTTACTCTCAAAATGAAGGACCTGGAGTGAAAAGTTTGTGTCTAAACAAGTCCTCTTTAGATTTTAGTCCAAGTCCAGAGCCAGCATCAGTTACTTCAAATAATTCTTTCATGGGTAAGTTTATTAAATTATTAGACTCCTTGACTCAAGCAGGACTCCTATTCCAAGTTGCATGTGGGAGAGCAATGAGCCTCAAATGCCAAACTTGTTGAAAAATTTTTTTTCTTTTTTTTTTTAAATCATGCTGTCATGACATCCTATGAGTTAGTATACGTGTTTCTAAAGGCAAAGTCAGACATGGGGGATTTTACTTGATTATGCATTTAATCCGTAACTAAGCCTTAGGAGCTTTCTGGTTAACTCTGTGTGTGGCATCATCTAGAGGACAAGTTTTGGGAGTGACTTAGGAGCTCCATTTGTCAGCCATGTGGAAAAAGTGGTTTTGGGCTACAGCAGCTTTTGGGGTGGAGTTGTATGCACTGCATGATTGTGGTTTGGGATGTCTGGTGGGTCACCCTTTGACTCTGGTCAAAGGGTGGACAGCGTCCCACCTGGCAACAACCGCCTGTCAGCCAGGCCGGACTGCTTTGGCAGAGGAGACCATCAGAGCCTCAAAGCCCAAGTCGATGGTGGTAGACTCTGGCTAGCGCCAAGACTCGTTTGTGGATTTCTTTTTGTCTAGTGCATGGGGACAAAGGATGGAAGAACTGAGATCATCTTTTCACTAAATGGAGATATGGGAAAATGAACCACAAATTGTCTTGTTTTAATATAAAAAAAAAGAATCTTAAAATATTTTACCCAATTTTGAGAAATTGTATGTTTTGTCACAGTATAATTGCTTACTCCTTTTTCAAAAAATGAAAATGACTTTTTTTATGACTGTGACAAGAATTTGAGGCAGTTAAATAATATTTTGCCAGTAAAGAAGAAAGGGCAAGGCATCAGGATTATTTTGGAAGAAACTTTCTATACCCAGGTGCAGTTGATACCTGCTAACCCACAATCCAGATCTCCTTCATGGAGAATTGTGGACTGTCAAGTACTAAAGCCAGGGTTTGGAAGAACTTACACTGGGAACCTCATTGCTCAATGATTACTATTACTGTAGAGGATGAAATGTGATAAAGAATGGACATACGGTATTCATTACCCAGCTCCATATTGTAAGTTCTCTCTCCATAACTGGATACACACACGCCCGATACCATAAATGACTTGTAGAAAACATTTACTCGTGTTCACGGGCTAAGATGCTCCTTCATTGGAAATGTGTTTTGATTTACATGCTAGCCAGTGGACCCATTCGCTCAAGGGCTTGCTTGCTTGCTTTCAGGAACATTTGGAAAGCCTCTGAAGAGAGCTCATCTGGATGCCTTTTCAAACTTTGGACAGCCAGTGGATTGTCAGCCAAGAGCCTTTCACCTGAAAACTCGTTCTTCCCCAGACTTGGACTCTGAGTCAGAGGAATATGGGAAAGAAAGGACAGATTTTCAGCAAGAAAATCACACATGTACCTATAAACAGACCGTAGAAAACCACAGGACTCCAAATTTTCAGTCTTATGACCTGGACACATAGACAGAATGAGAGCAAAGAAGAGCTCTAACATACTACCTCAAGTGGACTTTTATTTAAAAGAGAGAATCCTATGTTTTTAAATGGAGTTATGAATTTTAAAAGAATAAAATGTCTTATTTATACAGATGGACCAAAATTACAAAAAGTTATAAAAATTTTATACTGGGAGTAACTTTCATATAAGAATACCCTTTTAAAACTATTTTAACTTTGTTTTATGCAAAAAAAAAGATCTTATGTAAGTTAATGGTATGAATCCATGACTATTTTATGTATTTTTATAATGCCAGATTTCTTTTTATTGAAAATGAGTACTAAAGCATTTTAAATAATACCTGTCTTGTACCCTTTTTGAATAGAGTTCACTTAATTTTATTTTGCACATTGCATTTAATAAAATGTGTCATTGGGATCCCATGCCCCATCTATACAACTACAGTTTTTATTGTTTTTGACACATTTTAGGCTTAATAATTTCATATTATCATGTCTCAAATTGATGGAAATTAGGCTCAGCACATTAAAATATAAGCAAAAAGATGACCACTCTGCCTATCACACAAGGTTGAGGTAATACGGACTCTAATTGGATTAGTGTATGTGAAAGCACATTATAAATGTAAAAGAACTACAAAGATTTGAGGTACATTAATTTATTCCTAACGTTACAAATAAAAAAAAGACTTGTTGGTATAGTCTGCTCTAATGCAGTGCAGCCACCATTGCTTAAATCACTGTTCAAGCCATGTTTCTTTAATTATAATAATGCCTTATGTGGTCTAATGCCCTGTGCTTTTCCAAATAGTTTCACATTCACCATCCCTTTAATTATAACAAGAGCGTGGTTTATTGCACATTTCTATAGTTAAAATGGCTATAACCAAGGTGGATTTTCATCCAGTGTTCCAGCTGAGAATGGGATGTTGATGGAATTCTTGGTTATTCTTACTGATTTTCTGCTGGATGAGCAGTTCTAATAGAAAAGCTACTTTTAAACTATTCTGCAACATTCCTTAAGAATTAAAATACTTTTCTAATTTGGTCATCCTGCTCTACTTGTTAAAAACTGAGTATCAAATCTCTTACTTGAACGATTTAAAATACTTGTTTTAAACAGTATTTAGATAAAAACGGCATTACATGACTGGCGTGTACACACACAAAATGAATATAGTCATTTTAAAAATTAAGCGACATTGTTTTAAGTAATTGAAATAAACTTAAGCTTAACAATTCACATGATGAAACGGGATTGTTTTAAAACAAATTCTTGTTTTCATCTGTAGTGTAAAGACAAATCCTCTTGCCCAGAAGTTAGATATGCGTGGGAAGAGTTAACATCGCACATTAAGCTTTAAAATCTAACCTCATGAAGGTGTTACTTTATGCCATTGTCAGTTCTTTGAACTAAAGTGAAAGCAGATATTAGAAAAGCGAATTCTTCTCAGAGGATCTGTTGGGGGTGACTTTTCCTGCTTAATGAGTGTATAGCTTTGTTGTTTGTGAGCCAGAAACCTGGAACTCAGATTCAGTAAGATTTTCCTCCTTTAGTTTGGACACCAGAGGCCAGGAAGTGGATCCTTCCCTGGACCAGCAGTAACTAACTGCAGAGAAGTGATTTTATATGCTTTGGCTTTATCCTATTGCCAGATTCTCAAAATCGTATTAATCTGTCTTCATTATTGCCAGATGCCATGCAAGCATTGATAGAGGTCTATTCAATGATTATGAACCTCTTTTAAAGGATTTAGTTTTTCCAGAGTTAGCCCCAAAGGGTTAAATCATTAACACCTGAAATTCAAAAAGATTTACTCTACATTAATACGGTCTTTCCCTTTCACTCTGTGCTGAAACCTATGAATTACATATAATTTTGGCTGTAGGGAGAAGCAAGCAATTTCTCATTGACATTTGCAGGAAAAGAATATATAATATCGAGTCTCCATATTAAAATGAATCTAGTAGGTATTAAGATATCCTAAAATAATAGACTTCAGAAAAAAATAGATGTAAATATTAAATCATTTGGCTTATTTGAAAAGAAATGCTTAAAATTTTCAGTTTAATCTTTCTATACTTTCCAATAAAGACCAACTCATGTACAACATATCTTAATGTCGTAGATATGATGTTCACCCAACTTCGACACTGTTTTTTCTTCATTACTAACGCTAATGATAACATCGTTACTCTGTATAATCTTGGCTGATTTTTAAGATATTGGGAGATAAATATTCCTTACTTGTGGCCGACAACATTTTATGAAATACAATCCGTGGGACGTTTACAAACTTATTTTCCCAGTCTCCTTACAGGAAGAAACCAAAAATTATTTCTTAAAATATAGCCAATGGTACTATTATTTAAAAAAAGGAAAGTGATTCGGTATTTGTACACACCTGAGGGGTTTTAGTCTTTTTGATTTAATGTGATAGGAAGTAATTCATAACCAATATTACAATAGATGTGCTTTGGTGGTATTTTTGAAAGAGAATGAGAACCAAATGTTACCGCAGAGTGCCTGTTCTGTGCCTCCCACTCTTGGAATCTGCAGTGGTTGGACTTGTGTAATAGGATAATTTAGAACTCACTATTTTTTAAGACAGTATTCTATTAACACATTGAATAACTCAGTGTCCTGCCAAAAAAACTATTAGAGTCTTCAAAGAGGGGTACAGTTTCTTCACGAATTGAATAATTTCAATATTCTAGAAATATCCAGTTACCAGAACTTATCTTTTTCATGAGGCATTGCTTAAACAAATGTATAAAAAGTCTTGAAACAGTCTCAAGAGGTTTTAGATTTGTCTAAAAATGGCACAGAGGTACTTTAGTTGGGATTTTCTTCTAAGAGAGAAGAGGGTTCGCCAACATATATTTACTGAGTTATCCCAATATTTGGGGTCTTTGGTTCTATTTTTTTAATTTAAATTCAATCAAAGTATTATTGGTTTCACAGGTAGAGGTCAGTGACTCATCAGTCTTATATAACACCCAGTGCTCATTACATCACCCAGTTACCCCGTCTTCCCACCTCCCTCCCCTCCAACGACCCTCACTTTGTTTCCTATGATTAAGAGTTTCTCATGGTTTATCCCCTTCTCTGGTTTCATCTTGCTTTATATCCTCTTCTTTTGCCCTACGATCCCGTTTTGTTTCTTAAATTCCACAGATGAGTGAGATCATATAATTGTCTTTCTCTGATTGATGTATTTTGCTTAGCATAGTACCCTCTAGTTGCATCCACATTGCAAATGGTAAGATTGCTCTTTTTGATGGCTGAGTAGTATTCCATTGTGTACATATGTATCACATCTTTATCTGTTCATCTGTTGACGCACATCTGGGCTCTTTCCACAATTTGGCTATTGTAGACATTGCTGCTATAAACAATGGGGTGCAGGTGCCCTTTCGGATCACCATATTTGTACCTTTGCAGTGAATCCCTAGTAGTGCAATTGCTGGGTCATAGAGGGTAGCTCTATTTTCAGCTTTTCAGGAAGCTCCATACCATTTCCCAGAGTGGCTGCACCAGCTTGCATTGCCACCAACAGTGCAAGAGGGTTCCCACTTCCTGCATCCTTACCAACATTTGTTGTTTCCTGACTTGGTAATTGTAACCATTCTGATTGGTGTGAGGTGGTATCTCATTGGGGTTTTGATTTGTATTTCCCTGATGCCGAGTGACATTGAGCATTTTTTCTTGTGTCTGCTGGCCATTTGTATGTCTTCTTTGGAGAAATGTCTGTTCATATCTTCAGGCCATTTGGGTTTTTTTTTTTTTTTTTGAGAAACCTGGTAGTGATGAGTGTATTTTAATATAGATGTTTGATTTTACTTGAGATATATTATTAAGATAAAACTCCCTTGAAAATCTATATTATAGATTGAAATGTATACAACTCAAATTCTCACTAGTATAAGAATTGTAATTTCTTATTCCTACTGTATTTAGTGTCAAGAGTCTGAATTCTATATCCTCCCATGTGATTACTGATATTCATGAATACAGAAATTATAACCAGTATTCACATGTAGCTTTTTATTAGAATTATATTTTTTAATTAAAGAATTTTTGAGAATACATTTTAAGGAATAAGGCAAAGCAATTCATAACTATTACAATTTCACTCTTGGATGTAATTTTCTCATATCTTTATTGAGTTTCATGGTTGATTTTGGCTTTTAACAAGTTTAACTTTTTTTTAAATCCTGTTTGAACATAACACCTAATGCTTTCATGAGATTATTGCCATTGTTTGGGTAGTTACTTTGATGTTTCTGCATATGGCTTTATTTTGATCTACAGCTCAGAGTTGAAATTTGATAACACACTAACAGTTATCACACATTTCATATATGCTTAGTTGTATATTTTGAATAGGCGATATAGAAAGGAGTAAAATGATCTTTGTCCTAATCATCAGTGGGACAGGAAGCAGGTTCATAAATATTTATAATACACTGTGTTAAATGCTATAACTTAGTAGGGCCCCTGTAACTGACACTAATTTTGTCTCTAATTCTAATTGAACTCCCTAAAAGTGTTACATGCAGTTCACATATCCTAGAAGAAGTTGATTATCTGGGTTTTTCCACCTGTATCCCAGAACAATTGTGCTTCCAATACTCCCGTCCATGTTTAATTATCAATAATTACCACTCCTGTAAATTTGACACCTGAAATGTCCTCAAGATTATTTATGCCTTCCTTCTTAGCCCATTGCTACTGCCAGGTTCAGACCCTGACCTGTCTCTTAAATCAGTGTCTTCTTGTCCTTTGTCTCTCTCTTAGGCAATTCATTGTTTCACAGAATTATTTTTCTAAAATAGATCTGAATTGGCCACTTTCCTGTTTAAAAACCATTGATGGCTACACTTTAAATCCCAGTTTAAGACCTTTCACTCATTGATCCAGCCTACCCTTCAAACCATACCCTCCATGTAACTGCCATTCCCCACTTTTCACAGTACGGTACAGTACCCCTCACCAGATCCTATGCACCTCTGTGGCTTTATGTTGACCTGTGTACAGCTCAATGTTGAAATTTGGCAACAACACACTTGTCCTTGTGTGTATTATTTCATTTTTGTTTCAACGAGCATTTTTTTTTTTTTGGTATCTACTGTGCTAGGTCCTACCATAGACGCTTGGACTATTAACAAACAAATACTAAAATAAATATTCTTCAATATTCTTCCCCAAGGAAACTCCTAAACACATGACAAAATTATTACCCTGAAATGTTCTTTTTTCTTCTTTTGAATCCAGAACTTTTTTAAAAAGCAAACCTTTCCTTTTTGCCCCCCACATAGCAGAACTTTATATGAACCACCATCAGAGGGAAGCTGTTGGTTACAAAGCCAGCTGTGATGTCATTGTATGAAAAATACTAAGAACGGTTAACCTATATGTCAATGGGACATCTTCTAGGAAGAAATAAAGGAAGTCAAAAGATCTGTATTTTTTTTTAACACTCACCAGATGATGTGGTCTAGCAGTCAGTAGGAAAATCAATTCCTGTTCAGTTTATGAAAAGTAAACAGATGGCCAGGTGTGTCAACAGATTTTTTTTTTAATTGGAGCTGTGCACACAGCTGCACATATTTCTCAGCTTGCATTTAGGTGTGTCTGTAGGTGACTTTTGCCCCAGTGGAATGTGTGTAGAGGTGTAAAGTGTCGCTTTCAAGCCTGGAGCACGAAACCTTTACACACACCCTTCCATGTCCTTCTCCTGCAGCGACCTGGTTGATTAGAAAGCTATTGCCTAGAGCTGCTCTTGCCTTGACCTCGCTTGTAGAAGACACTGGGTCTCTGAATGGCTCTATGGAATATGGGCTTTCTACCAACCGAGAGTGTTTGCTTTGAAGCCCAACTTAATATGTGAGGAAAAAAGTGTTGATTGCACTTGAACATTGTCTTTTGAGTGTACTTAAAACAGCTTGTCCTGCCCCATCTTGAAATAGTAATTTTAATGTGAAGAACTGCCCAAGATTCTTATTGACATTGTTCTTCATTGATTTATAAAGCTCCCTTTTAAAAATAAACAGCTTGGCCTTAATGACTGGCCCTAACACAGATGCCAGAACCTGGGTTCCACTGTTGTGGCCGGCCTTAGGCCTTTGACCCCCACTAGCATGTACTGAATACCTTCTTGTACTAGTACATCCTGCAGCCGTTACAATTTCATATTTCCATTTCACCTGTAGACACAGTTTTAAAGGAGACTTATTA